AAGGGTGGATATAGAAAATAGCAGATGGTGTAAGATAAAATGAATAATTAAATGTACTTCTCCTTTTCTGGTATATATGTTATTTTCCTTTTATGGTATAGTTTAATAAGAGAAACGCCCCGGGCTAGACTGAGGTCATGAAATGTATAAAAGTGATGCCTCAGGAAGAGCCAGGGGTTCAGAATTTGCCATGTTAATGCTCTGAACCTTGTGCACAAATAAATCTGTATTCTCCAACCTTTCGTGGTCTTGTGTCCTGATTTGGAAGCAGGTTCTGCTGCTATCAGCATGGTATCAGATCAGGCGGTACAATTTACGGCACGCTTCTGGCAGACCCTACTTGCATAACTGCAGGTTCAGGCGTGTCTGTCGTCTGCTCATCACCCCGAAACTGATGGGGGGACAGAGAGAGTGAATGCTATTTTGGAGCAGTACCTCCGCTGTTTCAGCAATACTCAAAAAAACAATTGGATAGAGGTGCTGCCGGTGGCGGAGTTCGCTTATAACAATGCTCAACATGCATCCACCCATGTGTCCCCTTTCTTTGTTAACTATGGGTTTCATCCACGACTTTTCCCTTAAGCCCCATCTGATTCCCCAGTTCCAGCAGTGGATACTTTTTTGCAGGAGTTAAAAGTCATGCACCACATGGTCCGCAATCAACTAGAGAGAGCCAAGGAAGAGTATAAACGGTTTGCAGACTGACATCGTCACGATGTTCCACCTTTAGTGGTCAGCGATTGGGTTTGGCTCTCTACTCAATATTTACCAATGATGCAACCATCAAAAAAGCTCGATCACCGTTACTTGGGACCTTTTCCGGTCGAGGCGGTGATCAATCCTGTGGCTTATCGTCTCTCCCTGCCACGGACCATGCATATCCATCCTGTTTTTCATCATTCCCTGTTAGTCCCTGCCTCTCCCGACAGTCCGCATAGACCGGCTCCATCACAGCTGGCCCCAGTAGCTCCTCTTGGAGAGGAGGAATACGAAGTGGATAGCATCCGAGATTCACTCCAGTTGTGGGACCGATTTCAGTATTTGGTGGCATGGAAAGGTTATGGACCAGAGGACTTCACCTGGGTCGATGCCACTGATGTTCATGCTCCTCGTTTGGTCCAGGACTTTCACGCTCGGTTTCCTCAATGTCCTCGTCCGCCTGGTCCCGGGGGAGGGGGCCCTGCGGGGGGGGATAGTGTCATGCCCCTGGTGAAGTCTGACTCTGAGGAAGAGAAGGAACAGCCAACAGGGAGTGGGAGTGTGGCTCCAGAGGTGGTGGTGGAGGCTGGGGAAGGGCAGAGGCCAGCTGAGCAGTCAGAGGAGGATCCAGGCCCATCCCCTATCCATCCTAGGTCACGCAGGGAGGAGACGATCAGGGAAAAGCGAGGTCTACTCAAGAGGAGATTATCATGATCCTCCTCGTGGCTTGCAGGTGGGAGCTATGTGTATAAGTTTGCAACTGTGCAGTTAGAATTGCTGAAGTCAATTAGTGTTCACCTTGAAAGAGGCTTATCTTTGCTGGCATTCTTCCCATGGACTTTTCTCGGTTATTTTCCTGGAGTTTATAATTAATTATCTCGGCTTGCTTCAGAACTCTCATCAATGTGGTTTGTTTTGGTTTTCTGTTTGCCTCATTATTTACTTTTGTGACTTTAAACTGTGCCTAATAAAACAGTGAAGTTAAGTTGAAGGCTTTACCGGACTTTAATATATGTTTTGGGTTTTGGGTTATTTTGAGAGACTACGGGTCATCACAATCAGCCATTTGAATGTATCAGTCATCTTTTCAGTCAGATTTTCATTATGCTAGTGTTGGAAGTTGGATTTGTATCCCTGATAATATAAGACATTCACCATTACATTTGAGAAGCTCTGAAAGGATATGAGAGAGAGGGCCTTTTCTGCCAAGCTCCAAGATCATGATTTCATCCTGTTTATCCTAAAGGAGTTCCCTTTGGCTACATTGCTGTTCATGTAATTATTGATAGCTATGAAATTTGATTTGGGTTTTGGAACTGTCGCTTTAGCTGCTAGATTGTTAACTGGGGAGGCTGTATGCAATAGCACAAGTTTGAAAAAGCTTATTATATCAATAATACATTTTTTTTCTTAATTGCTTTGAACTTTTCTCTTTTTTTAAGAAAAATGAAAAAAGCTCACAGCTATAAGTAAAATACTTTTTTTTTGTACAACACAAAGCCCTGTCTTTAAACCAGGGTTTAATCCATTATAATGGTCTGATTCGCACATAAGGCTAAACCCTAGCAAATACTTCCAAAACAAATTTAAAATAGGCTTTTTAGATTCTAAACTATGAGCTAGTAAGGCAGATGCCAAGTTTGGCCCAGGGTAGGGCCAGAAAGCTTCATTTTTATAGAGTATTCTTAGAGTATTGTACAATAATACGAATGGGCTTCTAGCCAAAGTTGGGTGTACACAGTTCCTATGCAATTTCAAATATTGACTCACTCCTATATTCAAGGTGGCTGGTCAAACCTTCATTCCTTTCTGGGGTAGAACTGTACAGGGGTGAAGGCGTGCATAAGGAGAAAGTCTCAAAGTCAGTCACTTTCAAGAATGCATGGCTAAAGCATGGGCTGAGACCCACATACTTCATATTTAAATTAATCTATTAAATTTACTCATCATTTAAGAGTTTAGCTATGCGTTGAGTAAGAATGTGTGACAGGAAGCCATACTGATCTCTTCTCCTTGAATTTTTTTTGTGGGGAGGAGGGAGCAGGTTCTGATGAATTTGGGAGAGTGGGGGCAGAAAAGTGCATTGTACAGGATAGAGGGAATGTCAACTCTTTTCTTACCAGCTCTTTTTCCCTTTCCTGATCATATAATTGTTCTAAGTGTACTTCTAATGAAAAAAATAATTGCCCATGAAAGCCCAAAGGAAATTGATAAAGCACATCATAGATTAACCTTCAGGGATTTTTTCTTTAAACACACACACACACCACATACAGTATATACACACACACACATTATACACATTATATATAAGGGGCGTGCATAAGTACACCATTGTGCCTACCATTCCTGTCCTATTGTCCCCATTTATTTGTATCTATTTCCTCTATTCTTACTCATGTTTATATTTATACCTATTATCTTGTAAGCGATTGACAAATCAAATCAAATCAATCAATCAATCAATCAATCAATAAAAATACACATACACTAAACTTTTTTTTTTAATTACAAAGCAATTGTTGGAGAGATGTCAGTCTGTTTACACATATCTTACTTAGTAAGTCTGAAAATCTGAAAATCTAAATATGGTCATGAATTGTATATGTTTGCAGGTATATGCATATGATTTGTATATATGTAGTCACTGATGCTTTTTGGGGGTTCCAAAGCTGCCATAATTTGAAAGTGAATTGCCCTGGAATTTATTTATTGATTAGACTTTTATCCCAGCCTTATTTTTTGGGATACTTCAAAACATTCAAATTTTTAACAACTGGTTCTGTGGGCATGGCTTAGGTGGTGGGCGTGGCTTAGGTGGTCATGTGACTAGGTGGACGTGGCTTGGTGGTCATGTTATTGGCTGGGTGTGGCCAACTCAATATCACTCACATCAAGGCACGCATCTCCTTGCGTGGCCTCTCATGACTGTAGGGATGCTACAACAGTCGTAAGTATGAAAAATGGTCATAAGTCACTTTTTTCAGTGCCATTGTAACTTTGAATGGTCACTCCACACAAGCAAAGTACCAGCAAAGGAGGGAAAAAAAACTCCAGAGACATTCCTGAGACAGGAAGTCTAGTCCTGCCAAGAATGTAATAAGGGTTAATGGAGAGACAGTTTCTGTAAGCAACACCAGAATGTTTCTTTCTGCCTTCCTTACAGGATTAGGCCAGTAATTTCTTCTAACAACCGGTTCTCCGAACTGCTTAGAATGTTAGCAACAGGTTCTAGAGAATAGGTATGAACTGGTAGAATCCCACCCTTGCTTCAAAATGGCAGACATGGCTAATGCTCCGATTTCCTCACATGAACAATGTTGTTAGGTAGATTGGTCTGAGAGAAAATGACTGGGCCAAAACCATCCAGCCAGCTTTCATACCTAAAGGAGGATTAGATCTAAAGTCTCCTCGTTTCTTGCCACTTTTTAAATAGAAAATAGAAAACAAATGTGAAAGTCTTAGCACATGTAAATATGCCAAGTAAACAGTGAAATTACAGCTCTACCCAATGTGACCTCTTTTCTCTGTGGCAATGTCACATTGGGTAGAGCTGTGATTTTGGGATTTTCTTACCAAAGAACATTTCAAAGGCATCTCCTGTCTGCTGAGAGATACTAACTTCCCTTAGATAATTCCTTGTTTCAGTAAGCAAATGCCTGTCGTAGCTTCCTTTGCAGTTTCTTTGCTTAGTTAAGTGATGTATATCTTGCCATAAAATTGAAAATATAGAAAAAAAACCACCTGGTTGGGGAATTCTGGGAGTTGAAGTCTACACGTCTTAAAGCTGCCAAGATTGAGAAACACTGCTGTAGAGAAAAGAATTGGAAGCAGCACACAAACATATTTTGAGAAGAGATTTTACATATAGAGCCACTATGCAGGAAACTTTGTTCCCTTGCATATATCCTGAATACTAGAGATGAGGCACAAGGAAAGCACAGGAAAAGGAGTTCAAACCTTCAATAGCCAATGCTATTCAGAGTTTTAAAAGGCAAGTTATGACTCTGAAGTATGGCTAGAAAATAATTGATGGTGCATGTTTATTTATTTTTAATAGTTTAACATTTTTCCTGCTATTTTATCTAAATAAAATACTTGGAACAGACTTCAAAGAATATCCCATGTATAGCGTACTGAATTAATATAAGCTTTATGTAAAGAAGAAGAAGTAGACACTGACAAGCGTAAATAACTAATTTGTTGCTGACTCATTCAAACCTGTATTTTTTTTAATGCCCATTGAGTAATAATAATGGTAAAGCCAAAATTAACACCCAGTCAGACCTGTTTAAAATAAGAGGGTAGTTCCAGATATATCCACACCTCAGTCTAGAAAGCTGCTCATCTGCTATGCATACTACATACAAGAGCAAATGCATAAGGAAAAAGATAAGAATATTTTCATATATGATAAGCAACATCAACAAGAAAACAGTGCACATTTCTTGTAGAATTATATGAATTGAGAGGTAAATATGTGTACATATAGTGGAGTGCCAATTTTTAAAAGTTAAAAATAACTAAATACTTTGGAGTAGAATAAACAGAAGAAAGGAATGCACAAGTATTTATTATGAGCCATTTCCTCTTCCGAATCCTGCACCTAGCTGCATTTATTACAAGACACCAAGTCAGGGAGCATCTGTTGTGTGTATGTGTGTGTAAAGCAGTCAAGATAGTGGCTGTGACCCCATAACTGAAAACATGTGACACAAATAAAAAGTAGACAGGACTTTGATGATGGGTTCACAGCTACCATTTTGACTTTTTTTTAATTCACTCTACACATATCCATGGATATTTCTGAAGCAACTGCACATTTTCAGGGGGAAAAGCAATTCTCTGACAATTTAGTAGTTAAAAAAAAAGGAAACCAATTTTTTTCATGCCACCCCAAAAAAGAAGCTCTTCCAAATTTTCAAAATGCTGGTTCTTTGTTAGATTGTAAATTTCACTGGGTAAAAGTCATAGAAGCTGGAGTAGAAAAGAAGAGTCAGAAGGAGACAACAAGTAAGACAAGCAAATATATCCTGTCTTATTTAATGCTAAATATTGTCCAGTAAACATGTGAGAAGATAGGAAAGAAGCTGTGTGACTGAGGTTAAAGTTCAAAGCCTGTCAAAATCTGAGAGTAAGCAAATTCAGGAGTTTATTGGTGTCAATTCCTAGCAACCATATAGATAAATATTCTACAAGAGGATCTGTCTTCAACATTGTCCTTCAGATCTTTTATGGTGCTTTCATGGTGCTGCCTTAACTACTCTAATGGAGTCTATCTATTCCATCCACTTTTCTGTTGGTTATTATATTCTGTTTTCCTTGCACATTTCCCAGAGTTATGGAATTTTCCAGAGAACTAAGTCTTTGTATAATGTGTCTGAAGTATGATAATTGGAGCCTGATCATTTGGAGACCATAATGTCACACATAGATATTGTAACTTCGCATCATTCAAATGCAGATTTTGTAATTTTCCTCAATTACATAATTTGCATCATTTGTGCACATATCTCACATTCCCTTAAGTGCCTCCACCCTCAAGGTTAATGAGTACCGGTCACTTCCAATCTGCATATCTATATTTTGTGAACCAGACCATCATGCTAAGCAATAATATAATTGATTTGTTTGGACGCAGTGTGTTATGTGAACATTGCAAGACTTGCAGGCTGTTCTGGACTTAGGGTTAGGCACAAAAGTACAGTCTGTCTATGAAAGTGAGAAAAAGACTGAAACCTGCAATTAGGCTTTTTCTCTGCTGCTGGCTTAGCACTATTTATCCTTGACTTGGCAGAAAATTATATTGACATGTAATTCATTGTCCATATTGCTGATTCCTCTCTTCCTGGTCAACAACGGTCATCTCATTTTCTCTCACATAATAATTGACAAAGCCCAACAGATTTATAGTGTCTTGAGGCTTCTCTTGGATGATGAATAAAGAGGAAAACATTGCTTTAGGTAGAGCAAAGGATATTCAAGTCTATAACTGACAAGGAATGCAAAAAAAGGCAATATCATGCAGTCATAGTAGAAAAATTGATATTGCCAGAGCAAGGTTTTTAGTGTGGTTATGTACGAAGGTTGTTGATTAAATTAATTATGTATGTGAACCACATCATTTCCTTTAACTTAAATGTTCAACATACTAGCTTTCTATCACTACCTTCTACCAGATTTTTTTACTAGATAGCCTTATTCCTAGAATACTGATATTCTGATATTTACATCTGACATGTCTCTAATCCTTCAGCTGGCAGATAAGTATGGTTGCAGACTTTGCACTACCTTCAATTCTGAGTCCTATTTTGCTTCAGTAATGAGGCAAGGGAGGGATACGGTCCTTACAGTTTTAATGTGAAAAATGTTAAAGAAAGTGACTGGTGGATTCTCTTACTCCTGTTTAGTTTTCCACCAAATCTCATCAGCTGTTGGGAATGGGGGTGGAGAAACATCCACCAATCATTTTCTTTCACATGAATTGTATCTGGTGAGCTTTGACAGGTGTTTAGACTTGTTAAGGCTTGCTCTGGTTTTACTAGGTGTTTTTGTACAGGTGTGCAGCTGATACTCTGGCTTCTTTTAGACAAGGATCGAACTGATTTTGAATAGTTCTACTTTGGAATAGGACCAGATCTTTCTCCAAAAGAATAAGCCCAAGCTTGATAGGAAAGAGGTGGCAGTTATGAGGTCGAATGGAAAAATCTGCCCCTAACTTTGCATTTCTCCCTTGTGCTTGTCAACTGCTTTACTAGGGTGCCCAAACCATCTTGCAGATCTAGGGTTATAGTGGGAAGGTGCTTTCCACTTCAGGGAGAGAGAGTGAATAACTTGCGTCTAAAACAGTCTGATGGCTACAGTGGGAACCATGTAATGAAGCAGGATCTCCCATTGTATGGTAACCCAACAGTGCTAGTCAGCTGCTTCTCAAGTTGGTTGCATGCAGCAAACTCTTTCACCACCAGATTGCCAGGCCATCAGATGTCCATTGACAGAAAATATCAGTTCCCTTCTCTCCTCCTTCCCACCATACATGCTACCATATCTGTAGGAGTGCTAAAAGGAGTGAGGAGAGATAGCTTTTGAGTCCAGAGAAAAAGGACCAGACCCTCCTGCTGCCAAAATCAAAAATGGTTCTGCAAAAAAACTGCCCAGGGAATGGACGGCAGCAGGCATAGAGTACATTCAACAGCCTAAAATAGCCCATGAAAGCTAGACAAATATGATTGCATCATTGACCACATGGTCAATGAAGGGACCAGAAATATCAACCGCTATAATGTGCAGGAAAATGAAATAAACCAATCATGAAAGAAAACTGTCCGGCCTTTTCTTAAAAACCTATAACTTCATAGGTAGATTTTTCCGCTATTGCAAATTTCTTAGTAAGTTTATCTTTATCTTTAAATGAAATCTAGGTGGATGCAGTTTTGTTAGTTAGTTGTTTTAATAATAATTTCTAACATTATTTTATATGGCCATTGAAAGCACTTCTTGATCATTTTCACTGTAGTTTCCCTTAATGGCCCTGAACATGGCTATGTTGTCTTTCCTTCTTTGTCTCCATACTGAACATCCCAAGTTCCTTTAGCCAATCCTCCAAGGCCAAATTCACTCATACTACAAAGCTTATAGTAGGAAAAGAAGATCACTACCTTAACATCCAAAGAACTATGATGAGCATAAGCCACCTCCATGGTTAGTAGGGAATGAGAGGAAGGAAAGATATGTCCTTTAAGAATACTTACTGAGGCACTTTTGTGACAAGCTTAATAGGATGTATCAGTTATATAAACCTGTCACAAAATGGAAGTCAGATAGCTGTGCAGTTTGGTTTGAAAAGAGAAATCTGACTGACAAATCTCTCTTGAAAAAAAATTGGTTATTTTTTTTTACTCTATAAATACATACACCCTAAATACATTCATGGTATCAGAACATCTCTGCTTCATCTCTGCTTGTTTCCAAATTTAAATGTATTTGTCCAAGTTGTTCAAAGGCTTATCTATCTAATAGTAATAATTTTCTGGCAAAGACAATACAACTAAAAATCACTTGATTATCTTCCTAAAATTGTTATAAAGAAGAGTTCAGGGGGAAAACCTTTTTTTTTTTTTTTTGCCTCAGCTTTCATCATTTATCTGATTCATTTCGAAAACTAGATTATCAAGTAGTGATGTATCAAATAGTGATCCCTTCAACATTCCTATGAACCATATGTTCTGCAATAATTTTCACTGTATTTGCAGAAGGGATGCTAGTCCAGTCATGTAAGCTGATAGCTATAATAATTGATGCTCAAAATAGTTCTTCAAACATTCCTCTTTGAAAAATCTTGTTGCAATCCAAAGAGGTTGCAACATCTACTAAAGTCATATCCAAAGATCTTTCAATACTTTAAGGACAAGCCAAGAGGAGACATTAATTGCATGAATACAGTGAATAAGCATGATACTGCAATAGTACACCCTGAGCAGAATCAAACCCCCATGAAGTGGGCTAAACTAAGAGTGTAACATTTGTGTCCCCTTTAGTCTTGATGAAAAGTGTCTCTCATTCCAAGTATTGTTGCAAATTTTTTTTCCCAACCCTCCTTATTACTGATATACCTGGTCTGGTTCTAAATAAATATATTTCCATGCTATATGCAAAAAATCTTTTCCATTTCAGATTGCAATTTTCAGCATGTATCTAATATGAGGCTTGAAGCCCACTTCAGTTTCCATAACATCAACTTATATTTTATGTTAATTGTGATTATTCCCTTCATCCACATAAAACCAGTATATACAATCTCACTTATAAACATTTGTTTGATATATGAAAGCTTTGGAATTTTTTCACTTCCCTCTTCTCCAAACCCCTCCTCCCATTTTATTTTCAAAGCAGCTATATTAAGCTGAAAGTTTTTAAACTGAAACAAATAAAATTGTACTCTAGCTTCCTTTACAACAACAATAAGATTGTTAGATGGATGGATACCATCCAATATGATGTAATGTGTGTAAATACTCACTAGAGGCAAGAAAGTGAGCAGAGGGCGCACTCTTGGACGTGGTTTAAGTGTGGCTGTTCCGGAATCTGTTATTGACCCAAAGCGATTACCGCCATAATAAATGCCATCCGCTTCACCTAAAATAAAACAAAGGCAATAATAAATAAGCAAAGGAATGAAGACCAAATGTTGTTTTTGAGATGAGCTGTAAACTTCATAAATTATCCCACTCTGTATTTTTTTCAAACCAATCCTACCAATTTTAGCAAACCAATCCTACCAATTAAATAGTTTGTAATAATATTTATCCATGAGATATATCAGATTCCTTTGACAGAGGCCGTAACTAAAAGGTATTAAAAACAGAAACACATAAAAGGTCACCATGGTTTCACAAACACTTGGAAACCACTTCAAATTATTTTATGCATAGAATCTAAAAATCATTAGAAACATTCTAAAGATACAACCTCAAGATGTTCTTGGAAGCTTCTCCATGAGTATATCAATATGATACAAGATGAACCAGCAAATATGTAAATCCTTTCACTTTCAGCCTTGCATCCTTACAACTTTGGGAATTAAAAGCTGAGCTGGTTAACTATGAGTTCAATTCCTGATTCAAAGAAAAGACTGTAAAGACTTCCTCTTGGACTATGGTGTGGAACTATTTCCTTTAGCAAAAGAACCCTATCATCATGTGTCTGTTTACCATAACACCAACCTTTGTTCTGCATAAGCAAAAGGACAGGGAGTCTTTCTGCTCCTAGAACTTATTGATGGTGTTTCTGCTTGCTATTATTAAAAGAAAAGTAAAGGTAAACAAGTAGAAGAGAGTGAACTGATTGGAGTGTTCATGTTTTTGCTTCCTTTTGGTGACCAATTTCCCTTGCTAGTGGGCAGGTGGCAGGAGTGTCAGCAATCACAATTGACCTTAAGTTCCTGACAGCTTCCACATTAATTTTCAGGATCATGAAGCCGGAAAGAAGTTGCATGTCCAAGGCCATCAAGCAGGTAGGAAAGGGAGCAAAGGGGTGCAAGTGCAGAGGAACTGGGAAACAGTTCACTGGTGGAGTAAACTTACTCAAACAGTTTGTGACCTTACCTGCCAGCATCATCATTGACTTTCACCCTGCAAGCTTCCCATAAGCAAAGACTTTGCTATCAGAAAGCTGACAGGGAACATTGGAAATGAAGATCACATGATTGTGGGTGACCAAGGCAGTGTGGCAGCAGAACTGAAGCAGCACTAACACAGCAGTGCTGAAGAGGCTACAATTTCTCCAAATTTTGCTCCCATGTCCAGGATTTAAGACACATTTTGTAAATTAGCTCATTTGTTTAAAAATTGTTTCCCTCTGAGGCACCATTACAAACAAACAAATATGAGAGTTTTAGTAGTATACAGATATTCTAATGGACACTCACTCTTGGAACTATTATTCAGAACAGCACAATTTTTACATTTGCAGATGAACAGTTTTTGTAACACCTACATGTCATACTTCTGCCTTATTCTGATATTCAGCTTTTGCTTAAAGATAAACCATATTATTTATAAACTAATCCTTGTGAGAGAAAATAAAATCAAGGTTGGTTACTTCCTTATAAGCACCAATAAAGATTTGTGATGCAAAGAGATGCAAATCAATACATCCCTATCAAACTAACACACCCTTATTTACAATTCCACCTAGCTAGCTAGCTGGCTGGCTGGGAATGTGGGCGTTTGCAATTGCATGCCAGTCAGAAGTATCAGACACTGCATTACAATTTCAAAGCACCCCATGTTTCTGAAAAACCATCATAGCCATGCTGTTTATGAGAAAAAAGTCCAAATTTTTCTGGGTGATAGTTCTAATATGATTAACAAAAATACCAAGGGCATATGCAAATTTGGGTTTTTCAAGAGTGTCCTAGCAGGAAAGATTATATAAATCAGGGGGTACAGAAGAAGCAAGAATTTTTTTTTTTTAAAAAAAAGAATAGATGTTTTAAGCTATAAGACTTTCATTTGCAGTATGGAGTACAGGTGAATCCCTACTGGCAACAGAAAAAAGAATGAAATCAAAAAAGTTTTTTCAAGTGTGGTGAAAACATGCTTTTCTATTTTTATCAGCCTTCCATCTAAAGTGGAGTAGCTAATCCTACTGACAACTCAGCTTCTTTTCCCCCATGATATTATCTGACAGGTTTTGACAGACCAGCCAATTAAACTATGGTGTTAAAGAACAAGCAACAACCTGCTATTGACCACCTTCCCAAACCCAGACTTTAATGTTTCCTTTATGTCCTTCCATTGATATTTCAGAATCGCAAAGATAGGGACTCTATTCTCATACTCAAGTGGTTTAGCTGCTTTTATCACCTCAACAGATCTTGGTCATTTAGTTATGCTCAGAGCACTGAAGGACAAAGCATCCTCAGTGTTTTTCAGTTTTGCAAGTTTAAAATCTGCATCCACCATAATGCTTTTTGTCTGGTGTCCTTGAAGGAAGTATCAAGCAAGATCACAGATATAGATTCAGTGTATTCAAAGGATGAGATTTCACTGAAAGAGGCCTGTTCTTGATGTTTCATTTTTTTTACTAAATAAGGCATTGGGGAACAGTAAAAATTAGAAGGCAATCTTTCATGGTCACAACAACAATATGTATAAATTCCTGAAAATGCTTACCCTGGTTCATTCGCTGGATAAAATAAATGCATTATTCCAATAATAATATCCCATGAAGACTAATTTCAAGATGAACTGGGCATATAGATGAAATGATTCCTATTTCTTAGGAATAAGAAGCAACTTGGTGGGAAGCACTGAGCCTGGTAGAGAGGAGGGATCAAGCATGGAGTTAGCCTGGAATTCCTGCACAACCACAAAAGGGCTAGGAATGGACTATCCCCCTAGGTTCCTTAGAGTTTATCACTCTTCTACACTGAGGAGATTCTTGTATTATAGGCAGAACTTAATAAAATACTTAGTTTGAATTCTGCATGTATGGGTCGAGTTGTTCATGCCTGACACAACTAGACAATTTGTGATCATTATGTCAGACATATTTTCTGACCAGATTTCTCAATGCTTTCAACAATGGCAGAGCTTCTAATGGATTTAAACAGTTCTTAAAATATGAAGGGAGATATTCAGAGATGTATCTGCCTTGAAAGTAGCCCATGTTGAACTGTATAGCACAGTCAAATATCAGGAGTTAACAAGAAGAAATGTTTTATGACACTTGTGTTATGTCACAAAATGGTTTATGATATTTTTATGTCATAACATGTTTTACAAATTTGCAAAAATTTGATTACCCAGGAATTATGGACCCCAGATTTTGGATGCATTGTGAAAGTTAGTTCATTTAGGTACCTTAATTGAAAAGGTTTTGCCCTATATTTGCCCTATACATTATTTTGCCCAGTTAAAAGTTACATACACAAAACCTTTAGCAGTATAGCAAGCAATTCAGAGGGTGCGGAACAGAGACAGTAATGTTTTGGTACCAGGACTGAGTATCAAATCATAAAAATATAACAGCATATCAAAGAATTTGGTTTGTGTTTAATATTCTGCCAAAAAATTTAGTCCTTAGTTCCTTGGTTTTCACTTTAAAGGGTCTCCTCCTGAATTGGTACCTTTTTAGAAAACAATAATTAGATCTATTTTTACATTGTAGCATCTCATCTTAAGTTCTCAACTGGAGTTCAAAATCGGTTGACAGTTTGACAGAAGAAATACAGATTTAAATCTGTTAAAAAATTATTCAAGAAACTTTAACTAAAGGAACTATAATCCTGTGTAAGTCTACAAGTAAACTTCAGGGCTTTATATCCAAGAAAATCTATAAGGTTTTATAGCCTTAATATATGTGATTTAGCCTTTTAATAGATTGATCAATTCAGCTACATATTTCCATATTTGCAAATGAGTAAACCAAGCCTATTTCTCAATATGTATGTCTGTATTTTTTTCAAACGATCCTAGCACATATATAGCAGTAGGCACTACTTTAGAAGACAAATTCATTTGTCTGTAAAACCAACAAGGAAATGAAAATTTTAAAGTTAGGTTTGCCACCTATCATTTTATAAGAAGTTCTATTAATGCATTTTTTAAATTGGGATACCTTACAATTTTACATGTACATAATTAGGGCTTTCATTAAAATAAATAATACTTTCAAATTAATATGTATTAGATTGCATAGTTTATAATGAATTAATGTAAGCTGTTTATTCCAATAGCCCCATAAAAAGACATTGAAAACATATATATGTTTAATCAGAAATATAAATGATATATTTTATCATTTAAATTAAATTAAGTGTTGATTTAAATCAACCTTTTACAATCTGGTATGTCTGAAGATGAAGTGGGTTGGAATTATGGCTTCTGGAATGACATGCTAGCATAGTCTTTGATCATATGAGGTTGGTATTCCAGATCACAGTTTCTAAACTTCAGCAACTTTAAGACAGCTACTTCTACTTCCCAACATTCTCTAGCAAGCATCTTAAACTTGCTGAGGTTAAGAAAACTAGTCTAGATGGTAGACATTTGGTATATCTGGATGGCAGCTGCTTGGCCCAGTTTGTTTAACCTATCAAACATCAGCAACCTAAATGTTAGTATCTCTCCCTTTGTTTTACACTTGGTACATATCCAAACTAATAGTGTTAATTGATTATATAAATATCTTGAATATTTGGAGGAGTCTGCATACCTTCCTAGAACAATCTTTGGGAAACATAAAGGAATTAAAATTTGACCTCAGGAACGGTATATTTATATTTATATGGGTCTGTTACCTGGAATCCTGACACAAGTAAGATCAAACTTTGTCCCGTACAAAGTTCCAGCCGACAACACACCCACTTTTATCCCCTGTGGGGTGTGGCTCAATGACTCAGTTCACTCTCTGACCCTCCCACGCCTCCTATGTTGCTGCTCACGTTTCTCCCTACGACACTGCCTAGGATCAAGCCAACATTCTTCCTCTTGACTCCCTGTCAGGGGCTGCTCCGATATGCCTTCCTCCTGATTAATCTCAGGCTGTTCCTCTTGGTTGTCTGATGAAACCTGAGGGATTATCAGGGAGAAAGGCATTGCCAGAGAGGAAGGTCCTGGGGAGGAAGGCAT